AGCCGGTCAACGGCGAAAACGACTGTTGTTTTTGTACGGGGTAAAGATATTATTATTATTTTTTTTTTTTTTATAACAATCGCGCCATACAACAATTATTGAATATTAAAATATCGGGAGATGGTATTTTGCGCCACTTTTATTACTTGTAATTTGCGCAAAAATATAACATGTATTTTGCGCCACTAAAGAAAACAAAATGGAATATGTAATTTGCGTCACACTTTCAACTTTAATAGCAGTTGGAATTTACCAGCAGATAAATTTAGTGATATCGCATAATAGGACATATACAATAATACGTACCGATGCGTCCGACGCGTGTCACATATCGTCTCAATATCGTCGAATTATTTATAATTATATGACTGATTTTTATATGTTTTATTAATTAACGACAATTTAGATGTTTAACATGCATGGAGTTTGATTTTTTAYATACATGTATTTATAATAATTACGAGTTTAATATGACTGATTTTTATAATAATATGTTTTATTACTTAACGATAATTTACATATTTAATAAACATCGAGTTATTTATWTWATTATWATATAAGTGGCGCAAATTACAATTTTAGTAGGTACTCTAGGGCACAGATTACATAATTCCTTTTTATTTAATTTTATTTGGCGCAAATTACAAATTTAAAAAGTGGCGCAAATTACATACGCCCAAAATATCGAAATGCAAAACTTAAAGAGAAACAACGACCGGTTAGCAACAATAACAAATAATAACAACAGCTGCGTCGTAAAACGACTCCCGACGGGGAGGCGAGACTGGCTACTGATTGGGTGGAAATTGAAAGTCCCAGTGGTGGTGATGGATGGTCTTCTCGTTACCGAAGCCCAGGATCAGTAGGCCGGCGAGTATGATGCTCAGGAAGCACAGGGCGGCCTGCAGGTCGCGCCGCTTCTCCGTGTCCTCCGGCACCACCTGCTGGACGACTTTGGTGAACAGGCTGCACACGTTCGAGTGACACAACCGGAACAGCTGACAGCTGAGTTCGGTGATGGACGGGTCGGCGGTGGACAGGTCGGCGGCGCCGACGGTTCCCGATGGTCTGCCGTTCTTGCCCTGGCCGTGGTGGTCGGCGGCGGCGGCCGAACGGGGCGAGCACGGAGGCTTGCTGCGTCGGCGCGGCGGCGTGGGCGCGGCCAACACGCTGGCCCGATCCTCGTCCGAATCCACTTCCGGGTACATGGACGACACGCGCGAAGATTGAACCGACGCGGTGTCGTCCTGCAGCTGCGGCACGTGCGCTGTCATCGGGTCGTCTGATGCATCTGCGGGCGCGGCTTGAACGGCGGCAGCGGCGTCCCGCAGCAGAGACGGATGCTGAGCCGCCGCGGCGAATTGAGCGACCTTCAGACTCGATCCGGACGTTTCGTCGACGGCCATGCGCTGGCCGAGTATGTCGGCCACGATCATCCTGCCCACTTGCAGTTCCTCGACGGTTATGCGTTGCGCACGCACTGCAGTGACGCCGCCCGTAGCGGTCGCGTCGGACACCATGGCGTAACCGTTGCAGCTGCAGTCGTCTGCCGCGGTTACCGACATGCTGGACGTCGGCCGGTCGACGTACTCGGTGACCTGAGACGACGACCGAGTCCTGGGTCGGTCAGTGGCGGTCAGGGTGTTCGGAGTGAGATTTCGGCACGTTGCAGATCCGACTGCTGCTGCAGTAGACTTTGACGGTCGGTCGTACGAATCGGCCGAACAGCAGGATCCATCGTCGCGGTGGCCGTCCGACGCGTAACCATTAGCAGCCGCTGGCGACGGGTCGGTCTGGACGGCCACGGACACGTCATCGTCGGCGCGGGTAACAACGGCGTTTTTGGCGGCAGACGCGAGGAGCGCACGAGAAACGTCGGCAAAGAAATCGTTGTTAGACGATGTTGCAGACGTTTCTCGCCGATCTAAAAAAGGGACCAGGGCCGAATCGGTGTTCCTGCGCCGTTGGGGTTCGGGCGTGCCAGTGTCGTCGGCCGCTCTGGACTTGCGCGGCGGTGGTGGCGGCGACGGCAACGGCCGAAGTTTCATCTTTTCGATCACGTCGCCCGAACACAACGCCGCCGCCGCTTTGGCCGTCCCGTCGGTTCTGTCGTGGTCGCGGTCCTCGTCATTGTGGTGGCCGCCACTGCCGTTTTCGGCCACGTCGCCGTACTCGTGTTCGCTGACCGGTAACCGGCGCCGGAGTGGTCGAGACGGTCCCAGAGTGTTGTAGGCACGCGCCGGTCTCGAYGGCGGCGGCAGTTTAGCGGTGATGGATGAGGTATCTTCTGCAGTCGTTGACGGTCTCGCATTCCTATCGCTGTAGCTGTACGACCTCGGTATGGTGAAAAACGCTCCAAACTCTTGGCTTTTGATCACGTCGTATGATTTTTTACGTCTGTGCCGCATCGGTGACTGTGGCGGTAACAGCAGTGTCGCGGATGATTGCGACGACTTGTCCACCGTCGCGTAACCCGCGACCGCGGAATACGTTGTCGTCGTCGTCGTCGTCGTCCGCGGCGGGGGTGGCCGAGGAGGCGTGGAGCCGGCGGACCTCGCGGACATATTACCATTTACCGCGGCGGCCGTCGCCGACCGCTCCTCGACGTCCGCGTCCGCCGAGAGCGACATCCGCGAACGGCGCAATGGCGGCGTCGGCACTCCTGCACCACTGCCGTTGACGGCCCACAGTGGCCGGCTGCCACAATCGGCCACCGCCACCGAAATATCGTGGTCGGAACCGGCCAACGAAGTCCTGGACCGACGCATCGGTGCTTTTGGCACGGTCTCCGAAAAGTTCATTGACTGCTGGAATCCCTGTGACGGAAAAAAATAATTAAGCTATTTAACCGTGTCTAAAGGGTGCGCATAGTTTATATTTTTTAAGGAAACCAAAATTCAAAACATATTTTTAAAAAGTTTATTATATTACGTATAATGGTTAAAACCTTGTTTTTATATTTCCTTACATACAAAATGATTCATCTATCATTCTCACCGCCATATTTTTATTTTAAATTTAGATKCTGATTTTTTAGAGTTACATTTTTAAATATTTTTGGAGCATGCTTGGTGTATCACTCTGTATCTAATACAAATTTTTTAGTTCAAATAAGCTAATGTGTAGGAGTTGATAATTATCAATTGAAATACACAATGTGAAAAAAGA